GAGGTCCTGTCTTACAGCACTGCCATCGTTAGTCTTCTGTCATATTTTCTTTCTGAAAGCTCGTAATGGGACTCACAGTTTTGCTGCTTGAACTGAAGCTACTTGAATATTTAATTAATATTTTTTAAACAAAATTCAATACCGTTGGAGTCCACTTGAGATCTTTGACAGATTAACAAAAAAAGTTCTTGAATATTCAATAGCTTTGAAAAGGGCTATGCATGTTTTGTGGTTTAGGGCAGTGTTTCTCAGCTGAGTTCTTTAATGCATCAGAAAATGGTTGCTGAAAGAAATGAAAAACTTCAAAAGAAATCTGCTCACATTTCTGTTTATATGAGCAAGCAAACAGGACAGGGAAAATAGAGGTAATAAAATAACTGTCAAAGCTGAGCCTAGATTTTACTGGATTGAAAATGAAGATCACTGTAGCAATGCCATATGAGAAAGTACACGGCTCCTCAACAAAAAAAATATCTGGCAACTGTGATGTAGGGCGTGTTTGCATGCGTGATGTAAGCGATCCTGATACCCAAGCCATGCCCAAATGATGAGTACCTCTGACTGACCTAGTGAGGTGCCACCTAGAGGTAAAAGCTTTGGTCTCAGAAGAAATATAGCCACATTAAATACTTGCATGACACTGCATTGTCCAGCATAGGTAGATCCCTACTGCCCAGACCTTCTCCGCTCTCCCCCTTCTCATGCAGACTTTTCGGTGGGTCTGAGAGCCCCTGCGGGAGGCTGCTGGGCAGCATGGGTGGCAGGGTGGATCTGGCCCCTGGTGCCAAGGTGCAGCGGTGGTGGGCTGGGACTGGACCACAGCCCTTCCCATGAGGTCCTTCCATGTCACGGCTTGTCACACCGCTTTCACCCCCCTGCTCTCTTGCTCTCCTGGGTGTGAGGGGCAGCAGTCTGGTACCTCCTAGTTCCCAGTCAGTGCAAATAAATTATATATTCTATGTATTCCTTCAGGACAGAAAATTTTTCACCAAGATTACTGATCCCAATCCATAGTCAAATGCAGGTAACATGCCGTTCCCCTCCTTCCCCACCACCACTCAAACCCCCCCTGTCCTTTGGCTTTCCCCTCCCTGCCCTACTCATGCTGCTAGCCCTCTCCTCCTGCTGGGGACGTGGAAAAAGGAGTCGACTTCAGATGCTGGTTTGTAAGGCAGTGCTGCACTGGCCTGGCAGTGTGAAATCTGGCCAGCCCCGACCCAGGCTGGTGGAGCTGCAGCAGGATGAAAACAGTGCCCCACGTAGTGGGGTGAGAGGAGGAGACTCCTTGCTTTCTCCCTGCACAGGTTTTGCTGATGAGCACACCTTCTCCCTGACTCTAGGCTAAGGCAGGCAGCACCCTTCTGTGTGTGTGGCTCAGCGTCGCACAGTGGCTTTTGCAACCCTTAGGGCTTAGAAATGATTCATTCCAAGAACTGGGATTGTGGCCACAAGAGCTGGACTGCCCAGCTGCACGATGCAGCAACTTCAGTAAGTTTAAGGGCTGACAGTATTCTGCACCTGTCAGCTTTAAGGGCTGACAGTGTTCTGCATCTGTCAGCTTTTCCAGATGCCCGTCTCTTCATTTGTGGCATGCTAACATAGGATTTTCATCTTGTATGCCCTTCAGAACATTTATGCACAGCACTGAAACCTCACAACACATCTCTGAGACCAGTAGGACTCCTGATCAACTCATCCAGCTTTCACTGCCTCATTTATAGTGGAGACAGCTGAGGCACAGGAGGTCTGGAAGACTTGAGGTTGCCCTCAGGAGAGCTAGAGCCTGTCCTGAATGCAGTTTCAATAGTGGCATTGCTGTCATTATTACCAACATGACACTGTTTTATTAGGAAAACTCATTACACTAGCACAATGGAGCTGTGGATGTAGTTACAGTATGACTAAACCGCTGTAATTAGTGGGGCAACAGCAGACGTATTACTAACCTTGAGTATCTACAAGTGTGGCCCATACTCACATGGCTGGGCTGTCCTCAGCCCTTACAAGGTTGGGATCCATTGGTGCCAGAGCTTCTGTGAGACCCTTAAGCACGGACATCAACATCCTCCACAGGAGAGCCAGGACCTGCCTAACACAGAGGCAGTGATACTGTCAGGGTTTGCAAGCTGAGAGGCTTGCCTATGCTCATGTGCAAAGTCATATCTTATCAACACTGCAAGAATGTCTGCGAAGACCATAGTATGTATTGGGTTGCTGTGAGCACAGTCATGTAGGTGGCTGCCACACAGCATGGTTTGTGTTCCTCTGACTAAAACCCTTAATGAGAACAATTACTAGTTTGAGGCATGCAGAGACTGGAAATTACAAGGGAGGGTGAACAAGGTTTGTGCTGCTATCACAAAGGCACCCTGAGAAATGTTAAAGCAGGCTTGTTCTAATAATTATTGTGAGGATGTGAGATATTTGTACTGAAACTGAGCAACGTGTGGTTTCTTACAGTCATTGATGTAATCCACTTTCAAGATGGCACTATGGGAGGAAGATGATCTGTATGGGTTTTTTCTATGAATTTCTATCATAAGCAGAGTTGCGTAGCCTAGATCAAATCTTTTAAGGTCAGTGGAATCTTTTGTTCAGGTGTGTTTTTTTTTTTTTTTTACAGTATTGTGTTCTTTGGCTTTGCTATGTAAATAAGCTTTTTGTTGGATAATCTGATTCAATTTTTGACTTATCTTTGAATGCTGTCTCGTTTTGTGAACAAAAGGTTTCTGTGACTTTATGTAACAATTTGTGTATGAGCAAAGGGTCATGCCACTGTGTCCTCTGTGAAATATCAGCAAAATGTAAATAAACCATTTAACTACCAAGCGTAACTGGAGATGAAATGGCAGGGCAAACTGAGTTTAAGATAGAGCACTAATCGAAAGGAGCCATGACTATATGTTAAAGGCTGGCTTAATAAGAACACAGTAGGAAAAAGAAAACAGTATTTCAGTCTATAAGGCTAAGTGTATAGACAGCAGACTCTATGGTCTGAAGACAGAATTGCATCAGAACCAGCTTCAGGACAAATAAAGGACACCAAAAGAAGTTAATTATGCCTCAAGGGGGAGTAAAATATCAAGGGTATCAACTTATGCAGAAGAAAGGACGAAAAAGATCTGTGTCTGCCTACAGTCAATCAGTTCACCTTTAAACCTGAGACTCTTTGAGCTTAAATAGGATGATATTAAATACAAAGGCATCTGCCATCTTAGAAGTTCAAGCCTTGTGTCTTTGTCCAGTGTTCAGCAGTATCTCTTGCATGTGAAGATGCAGTGGAGTTTTCAACTGCTCTGAGCTGCCTTTTATCACCTTGGTGGTCCATGCTGTTCTGCTGAGACCTCTCCTGATTCTGGTTGCTCACAGATCTTTTCAAACAGTCCAGGCCTTGCTGGATATTTAACACCTGACCTGTGCCTGTTACAGTTCCATGGAGTGCAGCTTGTCAGGATTACATAGCTTAAATGTAAAGATGCTGTCTGGCTTCTTATATAGCAGAGTGCTGAAGCTCAGTTTTGTGAGCTGGTGTGCATACATACATATGCTTCAGTGATACTGAATCAATGAGTGGAAAAAATGGCTGGCTGGGCTTAAACATGGATCTTAGAGTGGATTTAAGCACATTTGCTGAAGCAAAACCTTAGTGTTGTGCATTCTCCTGTAAAATCATAGAGGAATCAAAAATTATAACTGCTTAGTTTTTTCAGCACTAAATTGTTTTAAAAAAAATGACCAGTTCTGGTGGCCACTGACAAGTACAATCTGTGTCTGCTAGTAGTTCTGTTTTCTTTAGATCTGTTTTCCTAAAGCTTTTGGGAGCGGATTTAGGTTCAGCGTATTCAGCTTGATGTAAATTACTGTCAGACCAACATTTTACATGTATCTTGCCTCTATGAAAGAGGCTGTACAACATGCTGGCTGAGGGGGAATCACAGATTTATAGATTTTAGAGCAAAGGGAGAACACGATGTTCATCTAAACTGGCTGCGGCCCTGCACAGTCCGTAGGTTCTTTTATTTAACTCAGCAGCTTGAGGTTGACTGAGAGTGTATTTTTGGAATGACATCCAGGCTTGATTTAAAGACCCCAAGTGCTGCAGAGTTTGTCACAGTCATTGAGAGTTTGCTCCAATGGTCAATTACCCTTTATCTGAAAAACACCCTTTCTCTGAAAAATCTGTACCTTATTTTTTTGGAACTCTGTTAACTTCTGTCTTCTGAAAACTGGATCTTGCTGCTTGACTTTCTCAGCAGGACTGGGGAGCCCTTTATTTTCCTATAGGTATTTCTTGTGATCATTAGTTTATATTTTCATGGTGTCAGAAAAATTTCTTTATACTCACAGACCCAGTTAGGCACACATCTTTTACACCCCAGTATTCCCATGCTAAGGGTCTGACATGATGAAAATAGGCCATCTTAGAAAAGAGCTGCTAAGACTGTGGTGCTTTTTATTTCAGTTACTAGCCACTGGTTTATGATTAAATATTATTCATGGCTGGGATATTAATACTGGTAAAGCAGGGTATTCGGTACATGCTGTACTTACACTGTAGAAATCATGATTGCTCTAGTGTCCCCCAAATTATTATTTTCATTATTTCCTTTAATGTGTCAAACATGCTTTCCAAATGACTTGAGTTCTCTGTTGCTTCTTTTTCCATGAACAATTCCCATGGAGTCATATGGCTGGATGATATTGAAAAGTTCCATGCCCTTGCCCCTAGGCAAGATCAATAATTACTGTGAGCCTGTATGTGAGCTTCTTTCATTCTCTTCTACTGAGAAGTTGAAATACAATCAACATATTATTTCCACAGAGAATAAAAATTACAAAAAGAAGGTTTTTCAGAAAGCCTGAGCAGTAACTTGTGTCCTTTCTCACATGGTTCGTTTAGAAACCAAGTAAGATCACTGGGAGTCACTGTTGGTAAATCCTGCCTCAATGCATTTGTTTTGCTGCTTTATGAGTAATTATTGTTCCTGTTTTCTCCTTAGGGCTCTTCCTGCAATGATGCAGTGGGTCCGAACTCAGAAACCAGGAGAAAGTGGTGTGAATATTATCACTGCAGATTTTGTAGAACTTGGTGACTTTATCAGCACAGTCATAAAGCTCAACTATGCCCTGGATGAAGGTGAAGATGACACTACTTGATAGTACTATAATATGTGTGATGTTGCATTATTTAGGATTGCATTTTAAAAGAATTATCTTCTAAAACACTGATCTTCCTATAACACGCTGAGGTGTTTAGGGCTTTAGTGGGTGGGCGTAGGGGAAATGTTTTAATCAATTATGATCATTTTTTACATTTGTGTTTCATGTGAAGAGCAAAACTAAACATGTTTACAGTGTTTGATAAAAGAAGGCCATTTACATGTTTTCCATGAGGTACCAAATACGATTCATGTGTCTTCTATGGTTATGAACAGTGCCAAGAAATTTGCTGCTTTCAGAGCAATGGGATGTGTATTGCCCTTTGCCTGCCCACAGCAGGATTCCCGACAGTGTGAGCATGACACCGGCAGACTAAGGACAGTATATCTGGCCCAAAAATTTTAAGCTGCTACACTTCATCTGTTAGGTGGTTTAACTGATGATATTTATCAGTGAGCTACAGGTTTAAATGCCTTTGTGAAGTAAATCCAAAGTCATGCTTCTAACACATGTGTAATCAGCGGTCAGTAAACATGATGTATTACGTAGCTTGCACGGAGCACAGACTAAATCCTGCTTGCTTTTCATTCTCAAAATGGGGTTTTCCAATGTCTCTGCCCCAGGTCAAGTCAGCAGATATGTAGTGCTGGCCTAACTCTGTACTAGGAGCTGCCAGTGTGTATTTTCCCTGGTTCTAGCAGGAACAAAGTTAGGCCAGCTTGGAGCACCACTCCCTCCCAAGGTTAATCTTATGTAAGTGTCTGATCCAATGTCCACTGAATTTAATAGGAATGTTTGCTGTGTTTGGCATGGATTGGGCATAGGATCAGTAAATTGTGTGTACTGTAAGGTGGGCAGGATTTTGTCCCATAGGGAAAACCTGCTTTCTGCAAGACTAAAACTGCACTTAAAAAAAATAGGTGCAGTCTAAGCTTCTCTTTAAGGCAGCTACGAACACAACACTTCTCTGCTGATTACAAAAAAATCAGTGCCAGTTTCATCAGTGAAAAATTGCTGTACTAAACAGTGTAGCAGTTCAATTTCTAGCAAATAAAAATACCCTATAGTCCTTATAATTGTTTGTGGCGTATAATACTGCGTAACACGGTTGGAATTCTACTGAGTGGCACTGTTCTAGCAGCAGAATCGCTAATCGTCCTACTTTCAATGAAACATATATAAAACTCAAATATATGGAAGAATTAGTGGGTTATAAAATGAGAGCATTGCCATTGTATGACACCTAACTGGATACAATGCAGTCAGACATATGTCTTGAACACATCAATGCACAGGCACATGACTTTGGAAAACAAAACATTTCATTTGTGCAAAACTATAGATGCTATAATGTCTAACAAGGAAAATGCTCTTTGAAATATTGCAGGGCTTTATTGGATAAGACTGAGGTCAAGTTTCCATTGATGTTACTAGAATTTTTTGTTGAATGAGAAAAGAGGATGGCATCATACAGTCCTTTGCTATTTTCTATCAGATTATAAGGACTACCATCAGAGTTCAGAAAACCAAAAATGGTCTTATCGAACAGGTGAGTTACAGTGGGGTTATAAGGTTTTTGTTGTTGTTTTTAGTTGAGAAAGAAGTGGACTAAAATGAACACTTGCTGTTATTTTGTACTGAGAGGGTGCCTTGGAAAAAGAGTGTGTGTGTACTATAAAGAAACATCTAAGTGTATTTGTACCATAAAGACACATATAAATGTATGTATATGACACAGAGACATCCATGCACACTTGTGTAATGATATTCTGGTTTCTGGACAGGAGTGTTATGAATTTGGTTGAAAAAAACTGTGCAGGTGTTAAGAAGTTATGATGCCTCCTTCAGTATCACTTTTTTCTGTATAGGTTAGGACTGTAAGATTCATCCTCGGTGAAATCTGTGGTCTAAGCCAGTTAGGTTTTTTTACAGCGTTAAAACTTTACCCAAACTGCCCCAAAAATTTACCAAGAGTCACAGTCCATCTTTACATTGAACAAGGGGTAGGACTGTAGTGCTTTCACTCATGGCTAACCAAGATACGGGGTGGGTTGATGCCTTTTGTTTCCAGTTTTCACAGGCTCTCACAGCAAAATTCATGTAACAGGCATATAAAATGAAACATGAGCATACGTTTTTATTTAACCCACCCAATGTGGGTGTCCCACATAGAAACATGAAAATGTTTGCTTATTTATCGGTGATGTGGTGTGAAATGCTCTCCTCATTTTTCTATTTAGCTGGATTTGTTTGATTCCAGATTCTACCTGTTATCCTTCAGCTACTTAAGTGTAGTCAAAAGAGTTAGCCTATTCTTTTAATATAGTAAAGTAATGAGAATCCTTGGGTGGAGCAAAAAATAGGTTTCTTTTTTTGGCTACTGATTGAAATTCTGTTGAATCTGAGAGCACCAACAACACCAAGTTCCTCCTGGGACCCCCCACTCAAACACACACCAGACACACCAAGCTTTTCGCTTACGCAGAGGTGTACTCAAAGCAAATGTTCTGCTGTATTTAAGAAAAGTGTGTGTGTGTGTGTGCGCGCGCCTGTATATATGAATAAATATAGAGCTTTCTTGAGCTTATTAGCATTGTTATGAAATGTTCGCTTAGCATCAATTTTATTCTAATTGTCATTTGGGTGCTGGAAAATAAAAGCAAAGCAAAAAAAAAAAAATCCTCTGACAAGAAGGATAATAGACAAATCATATAGTTTCTCCATTAATGGGGAAAAAAAATCTTAGCAAAATGTTACATTTGGTCAGAAAAATTATTATTTCATTTAGCTGTCGATCTCCTTTCTGTTGGAGAAGCACAGCACTTGCTATGTTAGGAACAGGTGAACAACCTTGCCTTAATTACTAAAACAAAAAAGGGGGCGGGGGCATACTATACACATTTTTCTGGCCATTTTATCTGAAAGGCCCCAAAACTGTAATTGAACTGTCCTGATAGGGATGCACTCCCTGTTGATATTGCTTGGGAGATCTTGCCAGAAAAGAACAAGCCAGAAGAGACTATGCAGCACAACTGGACCATTCAAGAGCCCAGTTTTGCCACCCATATGCAGCTAAAACTCTCTTTGATTTCAACCAGAAATGTGCTTGTGGGGTTGGGTCAGATGAGTTGTCTGACCTGATTCATTTGGGAGGTTTCTACACATGTATTATGAGGAATCTGGCATGGGAAATTAGATGACTGTAATCAGCCCATCAGGAAAAATACCTGTCTACACTATTGATCTTCATAAGCATCTATTTACTCAAACTGTCATGTCATTCTCCACCAAAACATTTTTTGTTCCTGTGCTCATTTTTCCCCTCTCTATGTTCATTGTATACACATCAAATAGTATTGTTTTCTGACATTTTCACGTGATTACTTGATCCTTTCTTTTCAGTCATAATTGAAAAATTGCAACTTCACCACACAACACAGGCAGTCTCTCAGCTGGTGTAAACCTACCTGGCTTCATTTTTCAGTTTACACAAGCTGAGATGTCTGTCTTCAGTACTGATCCAACCTGCAGCAATTTGGACCAAATAGCAGCTGGTCCCACAGTCTGATTCCTGCCTTGTGTGGAGAGGGATAAGATCAGAATCAGACCACGGGAGCCTAGTTTTAAAATCAGTGGGTTATTTGCATTCACTTGCTGTTGGTTACATTACTGGTTTTGTAGGTCCTGTCCATTTCAAGCTGTTCTTGTAAACAGACACATGTGTATATATATGCATGTGTGCGTGAGAGGGAATGTATGATCCTGTATGCTGGGCTAAGTCTTTCTGTCATACTGATATAAATCTAGACCATTTCTACCAACTTCAAAGCAGTTAATAAAGTTTTACCCTGGGATGAGAGGGAGCAGATAGTTAGCATATAGTAAGTATATGCTGTGTTGCAAAGGAAATTTAAAATTGTGGAGGTTAACTCTACAATATCAAAAAAAGTGGAGTGCCCTGAAAACATAGCTCCAGTCTTGTTTATCCTGAATATAGTATATGGAGCACTAGGTATTAGCAACTGAGTAGGCTATTTGGTGATTTCAGCAGTTCAGTTAACACCATTTTAAACTTCTAAACTCCTTTTCAGTGAAGTAAAAGCTAATAGTGTATATGCTGTATTTGCCATATCTCAGTGGTAGCTTCTGTGTTACATACAGTCAACGTTGTTCTGAATTATATATGTTTACCCAATGATGAGGTTAAAATATGCTGTATAGTACGTGCAATGTATTGATTACAAGTATGTTGGAGTTCAGTGATTATTTAGTTTTTACTGTGCTGCCTTTTTGTAGGTATGTGTGTGTATGGAAGTATGGGTTGTCTACAATGTATGAGGAAATAATAATTAATCCTAAAGGAAAAGGGCAGTTATGTAACCTGCCTTAATGCATTTGCATAATCTTGTTTAAATCCCATGATTATCAGTTCTGATTTCAAACGTTACTGGGGATTGTCCATAGGGCTGGCTCCCTCACTTTTCGGCACTGAGTTAAACTTGAAGTTACTTGGAGCTCACATATTGCTAAATGAAGAATAGGATGTTTGCCTGATCGACTACCTTGATTGTACAAGGTGGCAAAGATGTGTTTTCTAGTGTGATACAGATCAAATCACTTCTGTGCACACACAGCTCCTGCTGATGCCAGCAGGA